CCCGCCACTGTTTCTACAGTTCCCATGTCCCCAGATGTCAGCTGGCCTGAGTCCACGCCTTCCCCGCCGGCTTCCTCTGGCGCTCGGGAATGGACACTCATGGCTGGCCAGGCCTTTTCCTGCTGGAAGGCGGGTTCCTCTCCGCATTGAGTCATCCTGGGCCTGCTGGCCACGCACCCACTCACCTGCTGAGGACAGCTTGGCAGCTTCCAAGTTTGGGAAATCATGAGCAAAGCTGCTGTAAACACCCATTTGGGTGAGAACTTAAGTTTTCCGGCTCGTGTGAGTAGGTGGAAGGCGGCCTGCCGGGGGAGGGGTGGGGGGTAGGCTTCCTCTGTCCAGGCAGCTCCTTTCTGCTGCTCCACGGAGGGTGGAAAATCGGCGTTCAGTGACCCCCGGCCCATCTTTTTTTTTTCTTTTATGTAGGAGTACTGCTATTTATTCAGCCACTGATTAGCTGATTGAATTGGGCATGAACTCCACCTTACTTTTTTTCTTTTCATTTTTTTATAATCTTATTTATTGAATCACCGTGAGAGCAGATACAAAGCTTTCGGGTCTAAGTCTCGGTCATACAATGAAACACCCGTACCTTCACCAGTGCCCATTCTCCACCACCAAAAACCCCAGTTTACCCCCATTCCACACCCTCCCCCTACCTGTGGGGCAGATGATTTCCACATTATTCTCTCTCTACTTTGATTATATTCAATATTTTGACACCAGACCCACCACTATTATTTGCGATTTTACCCCAACACTCAGATCTGCTGAAAAGGCAACTGTAGACAATTTGTTTTCTATTGCTGGTTGTGAATAACATATGATGTTGCATGGCTGCAGTAGAGGCCGCATGATTTTGAAATCCCGAAAATTTAACACTTAAACCTGGAGGGATTTCTGCCCAAACCTGCTGGGTTCCGAGATTTGCTCCTGAGTCTCTGGGATCATGGCCGTTAAGTAACTTGAGCGGAGCCAGAAAGGCCGTTTGTGGGTGATGACTTGGGGTCTCGTTGAGGTGGGGAGGACAGGACCGGCTCCACTCCCATCCCATGAGGCCCCGTGTGTCTCATCACTGCGGACCCAAACCTGACTGTCCAGTGGCCTCTGGAGGATGACGGCCACCGGGCCGCCGGGGGGAATAGGCCAAGGCATGAAACCTATTCCCACCTGGGTTGGCCTAGCACAGATAATCTACTGCAGGTATAGGACGCATTTCTGCCAAAAGCACTAGATTTTGAGATTTGTTTCTGAGTCTCTGGGATCATGGCCATTAAGCAGTTCAATCAGGAACCAGAGAGGTCATGCCTCCAATTATATAGCTGAGCCTGAGGTGGTTTGTGGGTGTGTTTCCCACATACCTAACTTTTGGCTGTTTACTTTCTTAGTAAACTTGGCCCCGAGTTTTTGGGGTCTGGCCAAAGGCACAGCAGCAATTTTGGGGTATCTGGAAGTCTGAAGGCGCCATCAGGCTGCTGATGTACTCGCCTCACAAGTACAGATTGACCTGCTGGTGGCACCATATCCCTGACCCCCGGCCTATCTTAATGAGCTGTGTTTATAGTCATGCTCACATTTGAGAAAACTTTACAAAAAAACTAAGGCTTATGATTTATAATACTTTTTTTTTTTTTGGCTTTCTTGGATCACACCTGGTGATGCTCAGGGGTTACTCCTGGCTCTGTACTCAGGAATCACTTCTGGTGGTGCTCGGGGGGGCCTATGGGATGCTGGGGATCAAACTCGGGTTGGTTGCATGCAGGGCAACTGCCCTCCCCACAGTAACTGTAAGTGTCAGGCACACAACGTTCCAACACCAATCCCTTCACCAGTGTCCACTTCCCTCTGCCAACATCCCCGGTTTCCCTCCTGAACCCCCACCTGTGTCTAGAGCAGTCTCTTCTTTTCCCCTCCACCATTATCCTAATGTCCCCTTCCCCAACCTCACTCACCCCGGTGGCAAGCTTCCTACCGATGACCATCCTCCAGCTCTTCGTTTCTATTGCCTTTGGAGCAACAGAAACTTTATAGTCATGCTCACATTTGAGAAAAGTTTAAAAAAAATCTAAGGCTTTGATTTATAATACTTTTTTTTTTTGGCCTTCTTGGATCACACCTGGTGATGCTCAGGGGTTCCTCCTGGCTCTGCACTCAGGAATCCCTCCTGGTGGTGCTTGGAGGCCCTATGGGATGCTGGGGATCGAACCTGGGTTGGTGGCATGCAAGGCAATTGCCCTTCCCGCTGTGCTATCACTCCAGACCCTGGTTTACAATCCCGGTTAATGATGGTTTCCCATGTCTGTAATTCCAATCTCTCACCGGTCACCTCCCTCCCTCCCCCAAGTCCCCAGTGTCCCTCCTTTTCACCCTCCCCCTGAAACTTAGTTGTGTGGATCGGTTGTCCTGTGTGTTGCCTTTGGCCCTCCGTTGCGCCCCTGCTGAATCTTTAAGTCATGTGTCTACGCCCCACCGTCTGACTCCACTCGGCATGTTAACCTCCACTTCCAGGCCACACTGTGGCCAACTGGGCTGGCTCAAATTTTGGAATATTTTCATCACCTTAGAATCTCTCCATACTGTTGGGGCTGGAGCGATAGCACAGAAGGTAGGGCATTTGCCTTGCCTGTGGCCGTCCCAGGTTCGAATCCCAGCATCCCATATGGTCCCCTGAGCACCACCAGGAGTAATTCCTGAGTGCAGATACTCCTGAGTATCGCCGGGTGTGAAAAAAAAAAAAAACAGAATCTCTCCATACTCTTGAGGTCCATCTCCCCATCCCCCAATGATGGATGTGTTTTCTGTATTTTTTTGGGTGGGGGGCTTTTTGGGTCACACCTGGCAATGCACAGCGGTGACTTCTGGCTCATTCACTCAGGAATTACTCCTGGCGGTGCTTGGGGGATGCTGGGAATCGAACCTGGGTCGGCCACGTGCAAGGCAAACGCTCTACCCACTGTGCTATCGCTCCAGCCCCCGATTTTCTGTCTCTTGAGCTTAGCCTTTTCCAGAGTCTCACAGAGTTAAGAGCAGATGGACAGTATCTGGGATGCTCACTGGGCCCAACTGTGAGGCTGGGGGTCAGCGTCTGGGTTAGCCTTCTCTGCTCGTTCCTGCGCAGTATGGCACTGCACTGAGAGCCCTGGACGGTTCCTTTGGCCAGCAGATGGACATTTGGGTGGATTCCCCGGGGAGGCAGCCGGGGCTGTTATGAATAATGCTATCAGTCTTTGAGGCTTCTTGTCAAGTAGAAAAGCTGGAGACGCAGGTGCTCCCTCCAGCCCAGAGTGACGGGGGAGAACCCCAAGATGCTGAGAGGAAGGCTCTGCCAACAACCCTGCCCTCCCACAGGTGTCCCCCACCCCAGGCCTCAAGGCCCCCAGAACCCCAGAAATTGCTCTTCCTTTGACCTCCCCTTCTGAGCCCCGCCCAGCCAGTGGCTGTGAACAAAAGGTCACTGATCGGCAGACAGAAGCTGTGTGTTGTTTATGTCCTTGTCACCATGGCACCAGGAAAGCTGTAGCTGGTGTGGAATGCCAGTGTACTGGGATGAGCCTCTGCTCAGGGGACCCTCTGGGGAGCTGGCGATGGGACCCAGGTCAGCTGGGTACAAGGCAAGCCCCCTTACTTGCTATACTATCTCATTTTTTTTTCTTTTTAAGAAACTGTAAGCCAATTAGTCTTTTTTTTTTTTTTTTGCTTTTTTCTTTTGGGTCACACCCGGTGATGCTCAGGGGTTACTCCTGGTTCCTGCCCTCAGGAACTACTCCTGGCCATGCTCAGGGGACGGTATGGGATGCTGGGAATCGAACCGGGGTCGGCCGCGTGCAAGCCCAACGCCCTACCCGCTGTGCTATCACTCCAGCCCCTACTATCTCATTTTTTAAAAAATTCTAAGTCCAAGCATTTTAATCACCATGAATTACAGCTACAAAGGAATTCATCAGGAAGTGTCAGGCACACAATGTTCCAACACCAGTCCCTTCACCAGGGTCCACTTCCCTCCGCCAACATCCCCAGTTTCCCTCCTGACCCCCCACCTGTGTCTAGAGCAGGCTCTTCTTTTCCCCTCCACCACTGTCCTAACCTCACCCCAACCTCAACCACCCCGGTGGCAAGCTTCGAGTCAGGGGATCCACACGTGGGATGAGCCACAAGTCAGAGATCCACATGTGGGGTGAGCCACGAGTCGGGTGATCATGCATGGGGTGAGCCACGAGCCAGGGATCCACTCAGCTCGGGCTCTGGGCCAGAAAGTCCTTGGAAGCCCAGACAGCAGTTCTCTCTGCACGAACTGAGGCCACGGGGCGGAGGAGGCCAGCATGGCCCAGGCCGCCTCTCACCCGGCCAGCCTGGTTGCGGGGACCTGGTTTGGATGGATGTCTGCACAGGACGTCTACGGCGTAAGGTTCCGTGCTGTGAGTGCAGCTGAGGTCTGCAGGGGCCACCAGCAGCCAGGACAGGGATGAGGCATGGAGACCACTCTGGGGGGCTGGCCTTTCAGTGGTCAGTTGCTGTTAACCGTTCCGGGAGACAGGAGCCCTCCACACAGGCCCCGGCTGCTGGGTTAGTGCCCCTGGCCCCGGCCTCAGTTTACCCAGAGGAACCTTCCCACAACCCTTGCCCTCTCCTATCAAGCAGCAGCCTTGGGGGGGGGTGCTGGACAGACCCTGAGGGTCTCAGTGCCCCTGCCCCTGACCTCGCTGCATGCATGGTCGTAAGGACATTCCCCCTCTACGGGCCCGGGCGTGGAACACAAGAGTCAGACAGGCACTGGCATGTGGCGTGGACACAGCTTTATTGGAAGACAGATGCTCACTGGCCGGCCAGGGCCTCACAGACCTGGCCGGCCCAGCAGCCGGCTCTGCTCAGTACCCAGTGGGGTCCTGGGGAGGTGAATCCACTGGGGCTCCCTTCCAGCCGGCACCCTCAGCTCCTAAGTCACATGAGGTGGGCAGCTGGCCTGAAGTGCAGGAGCTGTTCCCTCTTGTCTCCCCCCACCCCCCGGCAGGCTCCCCTGTGGTCAGCAAGGGTGCAAGCCCGGGGCCAGCAAAGGTGGGCGTCTCCCCCCAAGGATGCTGGCCGTGGGAGGGAAGTGGGGTACAGATGTGGGGGGCTGAGTTGAGAGTCCTGGGGAGAGGGAGAGGTGGCGAGACAGGGAGGTCAGCTCTTCCACGCCCCTTCAATGGCTACTTCCTGTGGCCCTGGAGGCCATGGACAGCCCCCGGGAGGTCCCTGGAGAGATGCCAGACCCCCAGCACTACCAGCTCAGGGAGGCCCTCGGGGTGGACTGTGGGCCCTGAGCTGGGAGGGACTCTAGGGTGCGAGTCCCAAAGACACCCCTCCGGGTCTCTCTGTGTACACCACAGGGCTAAGGACAGGTGTCGCTGCAGCTTGGAAGGCAGAGGATAGAGGATTTAAAAGAACATTCTCGGTGTCACTGAACACAGTCACTGGCTGAGGGTTTCCTGAGTGTGGCACCACCCAGACCAGCTGGCACGGGGGCTGGGTGTGAAGTCTAAGGCGCTGGCCCTGGCATGGTGTGGGTGTCTGTCCCCAGGGCATGTCCGGACAGAGCTCAGGGGAGGGCCAGCAGCATCCACCACTGGACATGCCCCCTCGCCCCCCAGAATAACACTGGGACAGCATCTGGCCTCGGGTCACCAGGGTAAGAGGGGCGCCTGGTCCCCAGGCTCTCAGAGCTGGGGGAGACCCCGCAAACGTTGGCTCAGAGCTGGCCCTATATCAGAGGCACAAGGTGGCCATGGTGTGACCTTTCCCTGGGAAAACAAGAGGAGCACTGGGGTTCATGGGACCCCTGCCCGACCCCCAAGGCTCCATACAGATGAAGGAGGCCATCAGGGTCACTAAGGCGGCCTCAGGCTGTGCCCCACCCCTCCTGGGCCCGAGGGGGGGCTCCCCCTCACACGCCCACACCTGAGGGGCTCCCAGCAGGGTCAGAAGAGGCTGGGGGCGGCCTCGCTGGGTGCCTCATGCTCCCGGATGTACCGCAGGATGTCCATCTCATCCATGGCCTGGGCCTGTTGCTGCAGTGGCAGCCGCGCTTCTGGCTCTGTGGCCCGCGGGCTTGGTCTGGGTCTGGGAGGAATCGCTGGCTTGCTAGGGAGCACTGGTTTAGGAGCCACTGGTGGCCGGGGCCGGGGCGGGGGCTCAGCGCCCAGCTTCAGAATCTGGTCCAAGTCCTCTTCGACCCTAGGGGAGCGGAGGGAGAAGGCCTGAGCCAGGAGTCGGCACCGCACACTGGCTGTGCGCCCTGCAGGGGGACCTCCCTGGGATAGTCCCCGGGAGGGGCTGAAGGGGCCCTTCCCCAGCGGCCTCCCCTGAGTGACCCTGTGCCCCAGGCACTGGCTCCCTGCCTCCCCCGACTCTGGAAGGAGCCACAGCAGCCTCCAGATATGGGGTTCACAGCATCCCGTCCTCCCTGCAGGAGGGTCTGATGGTGGAGGCAGAGTTCTCCTCTAGACCATACTCAAACAGGAATAAACAGGGGGGTGGGGGGCATTGGGGGTGGGGTCTGCCCACCCCGGGGTATGTCACCAGGCGGAGCCCCCGGGGACACCATCATGGCCTTGATCACGGTGCCCCGACTCAGTGGGTAGGACCTGGCCCCGGGCACAGAATGAGGAAGACAAGCACTGTCCAGGCTGAGGATGCCAGCTGCCAGCTCCCGGTGTGGGGACTCAGTTTCCCAGAGGGAGCCTGAGATTTGGGGATGACCCGAATCCTTGGCTGCCGTGCTGCCTGCGGAGTCCCTCGCAATGCCCAGGGCTTTGCTGCCTGTGGAGCTGGCACCATGGCTCAGTTGGGGGCACCAAGAGGCCAAGGGCCGCCCTGAGCCCGGCAGAGGCCGAATCTGCTCGCTCAGGCTCCAGCCCACAGCACCTTCTTCCTTCCTTCCTTCCTTCTTTCCTTCCTTCCTTCCTTCCTTCCTTCCTTCCTTCCTTCCTTCCTTCCTTCCTCCCTCCCTCCCTCCCTCCCTCCCTTCTTCTTTTTGGGTCACATCCAGTGATGCTCAGGGGTTACTCCTGGCTCTGCACTTAGGAATCACTCCTGGCGGTACTCGGGAGACCATATGGGATGCTGGGAATCGAACCCGGGTCAGCTGCGTGCAAGGCAAACGCCCTGCCCGCTGTGCTATGGCTCCGGCCCAGCACCCCCATTTCTAAGCACCCCGTTTCAGCTGGGACACCTGCACTGTGGCTGGGGACAGGCCCACTCTAGCTCCAGGTTAGACTGGCCACGGTGAGGCCTATGACCCAGGGGCCTGGGCCAGAAGTGGAGGGAAGGAACTCTGCCTCCCGTGAGGCTAGACCTGCAGAGTGTGGCCGCCAGGGCTTCCTGGCCGGAAGGAGCCCCCCACCCAGCAGGGGCAGGCCAGCTCTACTCCCAGATGCCTGTGGGAGAGAAGGGAAGGGGGCTCCTTTCTGCTGCTTCTCAGGGTCCAGGCCTTGGGGAGGGGTCACGCTGGGATGCTTCCGGGCCTCTAGGATGGGGAAGGGGCCGTGGGAGCTGCAGCTGGAGCCACCCAGACACCTGGGCCGGGCGGTCCAGCAAGATGGTGTGTGTGTGTGTGTGTGTGTGTGTGTGTGTGTGTGTGTGTGTGTGTATGTGTATCTGTGTGTGTTTATGTGTGTGTGTGTGTGTGTGTGAGTGGGTGGGTGGGCTGGATATCTGCCTGGGAGGGCAATGCTCTCCACACCCCAGCTCTCTGCTCTGTAGGCATGAATGGGCTCAGAATGCAATATATGGAGAGCTCTCCGCCCCCTCCCCCCCCCGCCACTGTGGACTGCCGGGGTGGGGGGGCACCACGTCCTGAAGACAGCAGAGGCTCCCCGGGGAGGCAGGGCACGCACCTACATCCCAGAGTACCTGTAGGTGGGTGGAGTGGGGTGGAGAGGGGGACCGGCCCCACTTCTGGCTGCCCTACCGTGGGGAGGAAACATCCCCTGCCCATGTGATGAGGACACGGGCCACTCCCCCCCCACCTGGGTGGGGCCTGGCACAACATCCTGTCTGTGCCCCCATCCCAGGAACTGCTCTCCCCGCGACCCCCCCCCCCCCAGGGACACCTGTGGAGGGGACTCTGTCGACCCCAGCCATGCCCCCTTCTGCACTTGGCTGGCACCATCCTGGGGACCCACTAGCAGGACAGTCCGATTTACGCCCTGGCCCGGCCTGGGTTCGTTGCACGGACCCCAGCAGAGATCTCACGGTGCCCTCTTTAGAACAATGATTCTCCCAGAGTGTGTCAGGACGTTCTCTGGGGCCCCCCCAAGCTGGCCTGGGCTGTCGCCCCTTGCCCCCCATCTAGGCTTCCCTTACCCGCCTCTGCCTCCCGGGCTCCCCGCCGCAGGCCCTGCTTTGGAGGGGCAGGAGGCTCAGAGCCCCCCTGACTCCTGCCCATCTCTCTCAGGTCCTTGTGGGGCAGACGGTACCTGAACAGCTCCTCCGAGGTCCCTTTGGGGTCCAGGCGGGATGCAAACCCACCAGTCTCTTGGGCGGCTGGCAGCAGCAAGGGGTCCCCCAGGGGGACGGCCCCGCCAAGGTCCGGATCCTCAAACAGCTTCAGGGCTGCGGAGAAGAGGGCAACAGAGAGGTCACGGGAAGCGCTGGCCCACCCTTAACCGCCAGTGGACACGGTCTGAGAGCACGAAGCTGAACAGAGGCGGGGGAAGACAGGCCAGGAGGAGGGCGGGAGCAGGGTCTTTGGGCACAAGCCTGTCGAGTCCCCACCCCGCTCTGCTGGGCCCACTTCGGTTTCCAGTCCTGGGGCCTCTGAGCTTTGGGGAGGGAACAGCTTCCTCTACTGAGGCTCCCTCCAGAGCATCCGGCCAGATCCTGGGGACTGGACCCCAGGTTTCCAAGGGGGCTGACCAGTGGCCAGGGGCTCTCTCTGGTGGGCTCACACCTGTGGCTGAGTTCAGTCCCTGTTGGGGTGTCCCCAACAGCCTGGGGCGACTTTCCTGGTGTTCCCCAGCCCAGGAGTTGTGTCTAGTTCCCTGTCCTTGTTCACCGGGTGCCGTCATGGAGAAGGCGGGGGGCTGTGTGGGGGGGGTGCGTGTCCCGCGCACAGCTGTGTCATGGGCCCCAGTGGGGCCCGGATGAACAGGTGAGAAAAGAGCAGAGCCAGGCCAGAGGCTACTCGCTCTCATGTGTCCAGCCCTGCCCAGGACCCTCTGCTGGGGTCTACATGGCCACCACTGACCTTTTGCTCCAACAGGAGCTGTTGGACAAGGGGGAGTCTGGCCTCCCATCATGGGGCTCAGGGGGAGTGGGGGTGCACCCCTTCCCCCAATGCCCTGGACACAGAGGTCAGGGAGCCCCGAGATGCCCGTCCCCATCAACCCTGGTCTGACCATCACAGACTGAGCAGGGCCCTTCGGGGGAGGGGGTGATCAGAAACACGCCCCCAGCACAGGGTTGGAGGAACAGGGCACCCATGTCAGAAAACCACCAGCCAGGATGAGGGGAGATGCCCTCCCTGTTGGCCAGTTGGGGCAGGCCCAGGGTGGCCACTGAGGCCAGAGGTCACTGAGCCCCGTGGGAAACGGGGCCTCTACTCACGATCCCTGCTGCGTGCATCCTCAGGGGGTCTCTGGGGGGCGCGCTTCCCCCCAGGGCCAAACAGCTCGTCCTCCGGGTCCTCTTCCTCATCGAAGATGGTGAGTCGGGGCGAGGGTTTGGGCGGGGGCCGGGGCGCTGGCTCGCGGGGCTTCTTGGGCTTCTTGGTGCTGCAGAGTTGCAGGGAAGGGAACGGTCAGGGTCTGCCATGGGAGGCCCCTAGCAGGCGACCCTCCCCGCCCAGCAGACTCCCAGGCTATGAGGTCACAGGTCAGGGACCTGCTCACCTTCTGGCCTCCCAGGGGGTGAGGGGTCCCCTCCCCAGGGCCAGGGCAGAGGGGAGCAGCCTACCTCAAAGGCCTCTTCTCTTGAGCAGAGAAACAGCACCCGTCAGGGAGACAGGAGCTAAGACCGCCTCTTTCAGGCAGCCCCTCCGGATTCCGCCTCACCTGGCTGTCACCGCCAGAGGGTCTCTTTTGAGGCACCTTCACTCTCTGGCCTGCCCTGGGTCTACACTTCAGGGGGCTGGGTGGGGGTGGCGGGGGTGGGCTGAGGAGGAGGCTGGGTTCCCCCTTGTCCAAGGGGAACATTCCCAGAGCTGCTGTGGTGATGCACTCAGCCCCAGAGAAAAAGAAATGGGCCTGGCCCAGGGTTACTAAGGCAACGCAGTTCAGTGATGGGAGATGCCCGAATGAGTCATCTCACAGCCCCTGCACACAACAGGACTTCTGCTTTTTACCGGAGCTTGCATTTCCGGAGTGCCAGGACTTTCTGACTGGCGGGCAGTTCCATGGGCCTGAGGTCACCTTCTGAGCTCATGTGAACAAACTATGTAGCTAAATGGTGCCCAGAAGCTGGTCCCAGCCTGAACCACGGGACAGGAGAGGCTGCAGCAGATGAAAATAGAGGCTGGGCAGCTCTGGGTGCAGGAGGGCAGGACCCGCAGTCTGGACGCAGACACGGGCAGGAAAGGGGGAGCTGCAGGCCCCAGCTGAGAAGCAGAAGCGAAGAAGGCCAGTAGCGTATTTGCAGGAAGTCTGGGCACCGACATCCCTCTGAGTTCAGGGCCAAAGTCCCTGCAGGATTCTGGGCAGTTCCTTGGCCAGAGGAGCCAACGGCGGTTCAGGGAGGCTGAGGGTCTATGCAGCCTGGGATGGGAGATGGAGGGAGCCCTAGAACGAGGGTAGTCAGGCTCCTGGGCTTCTGCTCTTGCCCCTCAAGATGCCCAGGAGCAGGAAGGAAAGAGGCGACCAGGATGCAGAGACTTGGTCCTGGTTTCTCTGGGAGGTGACGATTCACCTCGAAGGTAGAGCCAAGAGAAGAGGCCACGAGGCCCCACTGTGTGTCCCCACCTGGGTGTGCGCCGGCTGGGCTCCCTGGCTCCCGGCGCAGTGCCTGCTCACCGGCCTCCTCCAGGCCCTGGGAATAAGGGCTGAAACCCTGTCCACAGTAGTGCTTCCCAGAAACTTCAGCCACCCCGTGCATGGATGGATAGATCAGTGGATGGATGGGTTGATAAATGAATGGATGGATGGGTGGGTGGAGAGAAGAATGAATGGATGAAGGGTGGAGAGATGAATGAATGGATTGGAGGGTGGAGAGATGAATGAATGGATGGGTGGGAGAATGTATGGATGGATGGGTAGATGAATGGATGGATGAAATAATGGGTAGGAAGGTGGATGGATAGGTGGATGGATGAATGTATGGATGAGTGGGTGGGTGGGTGCGTGGATGGATGGAATGATGGGTACATGGATGAATGGATGGATGAGTGGATGGGTGAGTGGATGGATGGATGGATGGATGAATAGATGGATGGATAAGTGGATGGGTGGGTGGGTCGGTGGGTGGATGGAAGGAACAATGGGTGGATTGACAGATGAGTGGATGGGTGGATGAATGAATGGGTAGGTGGATGGATAGGAAGAGGGAAAAGAAGAAAGAGGTTCCCAGCACCAGTCTGAGAGGGGTCCATTCAGAAAGCCCCTCATCCTCATTCCCTCTCCAGAGTTCTCTCAGTCACCCTGGCAGAAACACCCTCCTTGGCTCCAGTGCTCACACAACCCTGCGCTCATGAAGCACCTCCCGCAAACAGCAGCCACGCTGGGTGAGGGGCAGAGAGAACCAGGACCCACCCCTGTCCCCACAGCCCACACGTGACCCTGCAGCAGTGAGTCCTGAGAGCTGGGAGCACCGGAAAAGGAGCCAGTATGGTCCCAAGGCTCCCCAGAGAATACAACTGAGAGGTGGGCACTGACCTTGGGGGTGAGGAGGGCAAGGGTGGAATAGAGTCTCTGGCAGAGGAAACAAGAGACCCTCATTCTGTGACTCAGGTGTGAGGGGGACCCTGGGAGACTCTGAGTGACGAGGACCCCTTGAGCAGGGGCAGAGCTGAGAGGGGGAACTGGGCCACCGATGGACGCTGGGGTTTGAGGAGAAATAATCAGGGCCAGGCTGGATGGCTTTGGAACGGGGGAAGGGGACCTGTGTGACGGAGAAGGGTGTCGGGGAGTCCCTATGAAGGTGCAAGTGCTCAAGAATGAGCTCCCCCAGTGGCCCCGAGGGACGCAGACCTGCAGTACGCAGAGCATGGTCAGGCACTGCCTGCCTCGGTTTCCTTCCCCGCTTCTCAGCTCATGAAATTAGGGCCGGGGGCTGAGCCTGGCCCCCTCCCTGCTTCCGTCTCCTCCCCCAGCACCACCGTGGCCATCTGCAGGACATGTCACCAGCCTGAGCACGGGCGGGAGACGAAGCCCTTGGAGGGCAGTGACGAGGGGACCCTCTTGCTCCTACCCCCAACATGGGCCCATATGTTCAGACACTTGTCACTGGGCACAGGCCGAGCAACGGGGCGGGAGGGACAGGTTCTCCGAGGTGGTCGGCACCTCGGTGGATAGGGCAGGCGCGGGCAGGCACGTTCCTGCAGCCCGCCTGGGTGTGCACAGACAGACGCCAGCCTCCCCGCTGCGTGCGCCTGACAGGAGACAGATGTCCGGGCGGGCCACACTCTGCCAGTGGGCGCGGCGCGTGGGAGAGGAGGGGCAGACAGGGCGGCTTCACGACACGTCGGAGCCAGGGGAACCTCGTCCCCACCAGGTACCCGGGCCACGGGGCCAGATCAAGGACCTGAGCATCCTGGAGCCTCAGAAGCATCACCTCAATAGAAACCAGTGGAATCTTCTGGAAGCTGGGGACACAGGTGGTATGCGTCACCGAGAGGCTCCTGCAAAGCCAGGGCGATGCTCAGCCCAGTGCTGAGCCCTGTCTTCTCAACCGCCCGCCTGCCACAGCGCCTGCAGTTTCCAACCAATCATCAATTCTGCTTTGTTTTGCCAGCTAGAGACGTTTTCAGCATTCCACAACGGGAGAACTGAGGGAATTCCTTTCAGGACAAGGCTGCCTGTGGTCCATCAGGTTGTGGGGGGTGGGGGGTGGCAGTCATGGTGGGCAGATGGGGGAGCCATGGGGTGCTATGGGTAGGCTTGGTAAAAAGAGCCCCGTGGCCGGGATGGAGCGATAGCACAGCAGGGAGGGCGTTACCTCGCTTTATCCAGGTTTGATTCCCGGCATCCCATATGGTCCCCTGAGCACCGCCAGGAGCGATTTCCTGTGTGCAGAGCCGGGAGCACTCTCTGAGCATCACCGGGCGTGGCCCCAGCACAGAACAAAATTAAAATGAAAAAGATGAAGCAAAGAGCTCCAAGGCAAGGCAACAGGTTGAAGGTGTGTGTGTGTGTGTATGGTGGGGGGCAGACCTGAGGAAGTTGGGGGTATGGGCTGGCCCATTCCCCTTACACCGGAGTGGGGGTGCAAGGGAACTTGGGCCTGGAGTTTCCCTTAAGGGGTGCAGGGAAGAGGACCTGGAGGTGCATCCAGCCGCCTTGAAGCAGAACTTGCTCTCTGGCCCTCACCATTCAGGATGGGCCTGGCCAAGTGGCTTCAGTTGGAACCCCAGGGGCCCCGGGGGGACACACAGCATTGCTCTGGCCTCTCAATCCCACCCAGGCTGCGAGTCTCAGGCCCCTGGGAGGGACCAGGACCTCCAGGATATCCACCCTGCTCATCCTCTACACGGTGTAAATGCTGTTCAGCACCCACGGTTACCATGGCACCCACACCCACCCTGGAACCCACAGCCACCACAGGATCCACACCCATCACGGCACTCATTGTCACTTCGGCAAAGCCTTCCTTTGCCAGGGCACAGCCTGGCACCTGCAGAAGCTTCCAAACTCAGTGACCCCAGCAGCCGGCACCCGGGAGAACGTCCCCCCAAAGCCAGGCCGGGCAGGGCGGCTCTCGGCCTCTGCTCCAGCTTGGAAGAGGGGGCCCAACTGGTCTGTGAGATCTGGAAAGACCCAGCCTAGGGCTGAACCCCAAAAATCGGCCACCAAACCCGGCTGAGCCACCAATCTGGCCACATCTGTAAGTATCCGGGCAGAAACGCTTCTTCTTCCAACTGCCTTCTCCATCTCTGCACACAAACCAGCAGGACAGACAACTAGAAACCAGAAACCTTTGCAGCGCCCAGCTGGGCTCTAACGCCCCCTCCCCCCCTCCTCTTCCTCCCAGCAGAAGTTGAACCTGCAAGAACTGTGTGCCCAGGCTCGGGAGGGTGCTGGGGGGCAGAGTTGCCGGCCCGCGGGCTGGGCGCGCACAGACGCCCCCTCACTGCGTGCTCACGGGGTAGTCATAAGTCTTGCTCCTAATAAGAACCAGGTTGAAAAGACAAAGAAAAGCCGGGCAAGCCGCTCGGCTGCTTTGTGCCCAGGCGACCACACGCGCTGCAGGCCGGGCCGCGGAGCAACAGCGGCCCCCAGCGGCCGAGATCGGAAGTGCATGAGCCCGGAGCCGTCATGGAGAGGAGAGGAAAGCCGAGTGGAGAGAGGCGGTGCCTCGGGGCATGGCACGGGCAGGGAGTCCTTGGAGGGTCCCCGAACCGCGGGCAGTAGAGCAGGTGAGCAGTGCCCACCCCTCGTACCCCAGGCAGCACACTTGGGCGAGGATCCTGGTTTTCTCAGACAAGAGGGGCTCCCTGGGAAGGGCACACCTACCGCATGATGCCCAGTGGGTCCAACAGCTCCTCCTCTTCCTCCTCCTCCTCCTGCTCCTGGGCCTTCCCTGCAAGGCTGCTGCCGGGGAGGTCGTCCCCATCCACGGGGTCCCGCTGCTGGAAGAAGTCCAAGGCCTCCGCGTCCTCCCCGGCCTGGCCGTCTGCATCCAGCACGGGGCCATCCCTGGTGCTGGGGTCCACAGCACCTGGAGCTCTGGTGCCTGTGCAGGGAGATGGGCGAGGAACTGAGGAATCTGGTTTGGCAGCAGCGGGTCCAAGCAGGAGCTTCCGGGTGACTCAGAGGCTCAGAGCCTTTGGGCTCTCGGGGGTGCCTGTCCTGTGTTGCCTGTGCCAGAAGCACCAGCCAGTGTCCCAGACACAGGTGAGTCGGCCAACCCAGCCACTGGCTCTGGGGGCTGAGTAACTGGCTGCAAGAGACCGGAAGAGTCTGGAAGAGTCCAGAAGTGTCCGGAAGAATCCAGAAAGCTCCAGAAGCTTCCTGGCTTCAAGTGCAAGTAGCAAGAGGGAAGGCAAGTCTCCAGAAGCTTCCATGTCAGCCTGCCCTCGTTCACATGCAGCCAGCAGCAGGCTGAGACTAGAATCCTGTTCTGTCCCCCCAAGGCCCAAGGGTTTGGCCTCCCCTCTCTCCAAAACATGCAGCACGGCCGTGGTCTGTCTGAGGGGGACCTGCCAGCACACCCCTGTGCACATGGTTGAAAGTGGCCACTCTGGGAAAGTCCACCTGCAGGGAAAGAGCTGGACGCTCCGGCGGGTGGAGCAGGGGGGCACGTGCCGATTTGGGGCACAGCCTGTGTGCCGTGTCACTCACTGCAACAGGCAGATCCAAGCCACGAGGGCCAGACAGCGTTGGGTGACATGTTTAAAATAGATGAATGAGGGGCTGGAGCGATAGCATAGCGGGGAGGGCATTTGCCTTGCATGTGGCCGACCCAGGTTCAATTCCCAGCATCCCAGATAGTCCCCCGAGCACCGCCAGGAGTGATTCCTGACTGCTGAGACAGGAGTAGCCCCTGAACATCGCCGGGTGTGACCCAAAAAGAAAAAATAATAAAATAAAATAGATGAATGTGAAAACAAAAGCGCCTGTTCCTTCAATCTCAGGCACTAAACATTATTCCATGAGCATTTTTATCATGGATTCATTTAAATATTGCACCCCCCCCCCGCCCGCTGGTACTGCCATGTTACACATGAGGAAACTGAGGCACAGAGAGATGAGGGAAGTCACAACAGCCTCTCTGGCCTTCCCGCTGACAGGGCTGGAGCCCTCATCCCAGTCCACACAGGAGAGGGTCATCCGACAGGAACTGAGCAGGCAGCGGCGTCCAGGGCCAGGTGGGGCCGTGCAGAAGGAGGTGAGAGGCTGCCCCCACCCAGCGCACCACACCCGGGCCTTCCTTCTAGTCCCTGATCCTCACGGGAAACCTACTAGTCTCTACTGTCACTTAGCTGCTGGAGAAACGCCCTTCTGTCTGGCCCAGTGAGACTCTCCCCAGGAGAGCGGGAAAAGGACTCAGAGTGGGGTCTGCAGTTTTGAGGGTCCCCCGGGCCCAGTGTCTGAGCTCAGCGGGGTGCCACGTCAGCACCCCCAGCTCCATGCACACACGGGCCCCCACGTGACCTGGGTCAGGCCTTGTGCCTCACACCCACCTGGCAGCCAGGCCCCTGCCCCGCCTCGGGGCAACTGACCCGAGATGGCTGGATGCTGTGGACATGGGCCGGGCCTGGATTCAAAGGTCTCAGGGGGGTTAGTGGGGAAACTAGATGCAATCAACACAGGCTGTGCCTCGGTTGGGGGTCCAGGCTGAGGTGAGGCCTTCTCAAGGGGCTGGCACCAGGCTGGCTATGGGCAGAGTTTTGGTGATGGCAACCCCTGGCCTGGCCTAGCCTTGAGGCAGAGGGGCAGGAGGATGGTGTGTGTGTATTTGGCGGTGAGAGGGGGGCGTGGGGGTGTTTACGTGACCCCAGCGGTCGGTCAGGAGGGGTGCGGGTGGAGTCCGGGCAGGGCAATGAAGGTCCAGGGTGAGGCCCAGACTCCCCTGGCAGTCCAGAGGCCTGGCCCAAGGAGGGCGCCCACTACTGGCCATTCTCCTCAGCAGCCACCCACCTTGGTGGGAGTGGGGGGGTAGGGTGTGGGCATTCATAGACGGCAGAGTAGGGGAGGCAGAGTAGGGGAAGGCCCAGATACTGGAGACCTGTCTCTCAGCCCCGGCCACGGAGCACAGAAGGGACCAGGCCCCAGCGAGCCTTGGACTGAACTGTAACTGGCTGGGGCAGGGAGGCCTCAGGGAGCAGAGGGGAGGGGAGGGGAAGGAAGGAAAGCAGAGGGGAGCAGACAGGAGCAGAGGGGAGTAGAGGGGAGTGGAGGGGAACAGAGGGGAGTGGAGGGGAGCAGAGGGGAGGGGAACAGAAGGAAGGGGAGGGGAGCAGAGGGAAGTGGAGGGAAGCAGAGAGGAGGGGAGCAGAGGGGAGGGGAGGGGAGCAGAGGGGAGGGGAGGGGAGCAGAGGGGAGGGGAGGGGAGCAGAGGGGAGGGGAGGGGAACAGAGGGGAGCAGAGGGGAGTGGAGGGGAGGGGAGGGGAAGCAGAGGGGAGTGGAGGGAAGCAGAGAGGAGGGGAGCAGAGGGGAGGGGAGGGGAACAGAGGGGAGCAGAGGGGAGTGGAGGGGAGGGGAGGGGAAGCAGAGGGGAGTGGAGGGAATCAGAGAGGAGGGGAGCAGAGGGGAGGGGAGGGGAGCAGAGGGGAGGGGAGGGGAACAGAGGGGAGCAGAGGGGAGGGGAGGGGAAGCAGAGGGGAGTGGAGAAGAGTAGAGGGGAGGGGAGCAGAGGGGAGCAGAGGGGAGGGGAGGGGAGCGGAGGGGAGGGGAGAGGAACTGAGGGGAGGGGAGTAGAGCAGAGGGGAGGGGAGCAGGGGGGAGAGGAGGGGAACAAAGGGGAGGGGAGGGGAGGGGAGGGGAGCAGAGGGGAGTGGAGAGGAGTAGAGGGGAGCAGAGGGGAGGGGAAGGGAGCAGAGGGGAGCAGAGGGGAGCGGAGGGGAGGGGAGGGGAACAGAGAGGCGTGGAGAGGAACTGAGGGGAGGGGAGTGGAGCAGAGGGGAGGGGAGCAGGGGGGAGAGGAGGGGAACAAAGGGGAGGGGAGGGGAGCAGAGGGGAGTGGAGAGGAGTAGAGGGGAGGGGAGCAGAGAGGAGGGGAGGGGAGCGGAGGGGAGGGGAGCAGAGGGGAGGGGAGCAGGGGGGAGAGGAGGGGAACAAAGGGGAGGGGAGGGGAGCAGAGGGGAGTGGAGAGGAGTAGAGGGGAGGGGAGCAGAGGGGAGGGGAGGGGAGCAGAGGGGAGCGGAGGGGAGCGGAGGGGAGGGGAGGGGAGCAGAGGGGAGCAGAGGGGAGTGGAGGGGAGGGGAGGGGAAGCAGAGGGGAGTGGAGGGAAGCAGAGAGGAGGGGAGCAGAGGGGAGGGGAGGGGAACAGAGGGGAGGGGAGGGGAACAGAGGGGAGCAGAGGGGAGTGGAGGGGAGGGGAGGGGAAGCAGAGGGGAGTGGAGGGAATCAGAGAGGAGGGGAGCAGAGGGGAGGGGAGGGGAGCAGAGGGGAGGGGAGGGGAACAGAGGGGAGCAGAGGGGAGGGGAGGGGAAGCAGAGGGGAGTGGAGAAGAGTAGAGGGGAGGGGAGCAGAGGGGAGCAGAGGGGAGGGGAGGGGAGCGGAGGGGAGGGGAGAGGAACTGAGGGGAGGGGAGTAGAGCAGAGGGGAGGGGAGCAGGGGGGAGAGGAGGGGAACAAAGGGGAGGGGAGGGGAGGGGAGGGGAGCAGAGGGGAGTGGAGAGGAGTAGAGGGGAGCAGAGGGGAGGGGAAGGGAGCAGAGGGGAGCAGAGGGGAGCGGAGGGGAGGGGAGGGGAACAGAGAGGCGTGGAGAGGAACTGAGGGGAGGGGAGTGGAGCAGAGGGGAGGGGAGCAGGGGGGAGAGGAGGGGAACAAAGGGGAGGGGAGGGGAGCAGAGGGGAGTGGAGAGGAGTAGAGGGGAGGGGAGCAGAGAGGAGGGGAGGGGAGCGGAGGGGAGGGGAGCAGAGGGGAGGGGAGCAGGGGGGAGAGGAGGGGAACAAAGGGGAGGGGAGGGGAGCAGAGGGGAGTGGAGAGGAGTAGAGGGGAGGGGAGCAGAGGGGAGGGGAGGGGAGCAGAGGGGAGCGGAGGGGAGGGGAGGGGAGCAGAGGGGAGCGGAGGGGAGGGGAGGGGAGTGGAGCAGAGGGGAGGGGAGCAGGGGGGAGAGGAGGGGAACAAAGGGGAGGGGAGGGGAGCAGAGGGGAGCAGAGGGGAGAGGGGAGCAGAGGGGAGCAGAGGGGAGGGGAGGGGAGCAGAGGGGAGGGGAGGGGAGCGGAGGGGAGGGGAGGGGAGCAGAGGGGAACAGAGGGGAGGGGAGGGGAGCAGAGGGGAGCAGAGGGGAGGGGAGCTGAAGGGAGGGGAGGGGAGTAGAGGGGCTGGAGGGAGCAGAGGGGAGGGGAGGGAAGGGGCCCAGAGGTGGGTGGGGGGCAGGGGAAGCAGGGGGACCATGGCACCCGGTACCTAGGAACTCCCAGCAGCTCGGGGCTGCTGGCCAGCTGGGCGTCCCTGGCGACGCAGCCCAGGATGTCGTGGAACACGGCCCTCCTTTCCCGGATGGTCCGACTCGCCCACGAACAGCACCTTGCGGGGCAGCGCGGGCAGGCTGGCGCCCGGGTAGCGGCTGCTCAGTCTCTGGTACAGGTCCTCGATCTCGCTGTACTTTTTGGAGACCTGGAAGGAGAGGCGAGATCTCCCGAGCGTGGGGTGGGGAGGGTGCCGCCCTCTCTGGGCAGACCGCTGGGCATTCCTGCAGGGGTGGCCTGCTCCCTGCCCTGGGCATGGGGGACGCTGCCGCCGTGGAGGATTCTGGGAGCCCTGACACAGGCCCCCTGGCCACTGTTTCCCTTCTGGGCCTTCAGTGCCCGAGGGGACTGTTAGGTCACTTTCCTCAGCCTGAGCTTCTAGACCATTCCCCCGTGAACAGGCAGCATCCCTGGGGGCTGGGGGTGCCCATCGGGGGCTCGGGAAGTGGTTTCTCTGCTGGGCCAGGCCTGCAGCTGTCAGCTCGTGGGAAGGGAAGGGTTAATTCTTGAGGACAGCCGGGAGGACCAGGGACCAGGGCCAGCAGGTGTGGGCGGGCGCCCCTCTGCTGGCCAGAGCCACAGACCCACCAGACCTGGGGTTCAGGAGTCAGCTAGGGGGTCTTTTAATCAAGGGTCCTGTCCCACCCAGGGACACACATTCCTCTGTACTCCAAAGCAAGGTGTTTTTTTTGTTGTTGTTTGTTTGCTTTCTGGGTCACACCGAGCAATACGCAGAGGTTACTCCCTGGTTCATGAATTACTCCTGGAATGCACAGGGTTACTCCTGGCTTTGCACTCAGGAATTACTCCTGGCAGTGCTCAGGGGACCATATGGGATGCTGGGGGGCTGGCCCTGGGCATGATAGACAGTCACGTGTGCCTGTGTGTCTGTGTGTCGGCTGCGTGCCTGTGTGTCGGCTGCGTGCAAGGCAAACGCCCTCCCGGAACCCAAGTCGGCTGCGTGCAAGGCAAACGCCCTCCCCGCTGTGCTATCACTCCAGCCCCCAAAGCAAGTGTTTATCGGTAACAAGAGGACCCGGTCTTAGATGGCGGAAGTGAGGACCCCTGGGGTCCCCCCCATGCAACACAGACTTCACCACCACAGCCCAGGGGGTGTCTGTGTGTGTGGGGGGGGTCTGCACCATCTGCCGTGGGGGTGTGTGATCAGACACCCCTCCCAGAGACTGGCATGGAAATCTACATTCCTACAGGATCACAGATGTGTCCCAACAGGCCCTCCAGGGAGGGTTCTGAGCCAGCTGTACCCCCTGGTCTCAAGGACACCACGCACATTCTCAGGCCAGTGGGTCTGAGTCACACCTGCACGTGTGAGCCCACGGCTGCCTTCCACCAGCTCAAGGGTCACAGGTCTAGGAGTCAAGGGCCTGGTGGCATGCACCCTCACAGACCGACAGGGCAGGCGGCCAGGGGATCCCCCAGGACCCTCCAAAGGTGGCTGTCTGTCATGCCCAGGGCCAGCCCCCCAACAGCCCATTTTCTATTCCTGGCGGTCAAAGGCTGGAGCCAGTTGGGGGACCCAGGCTGTGCACCGCTGCACCTGGTGTGCGTCTCACAGCGACTCCAGGAAAACAACCCGCCCTTGGTTTGTTGGAGCCAGCCCTGGGCAGTGCTCAGGGCTTAGCTCCTGGTTCGGTGCTCAGGGATCACTCCTGACGGGGCTTGGGGGACCACAGGGGTGCAGTGCAAGGCAAATGCCTGAATGTGGTACTGTGGCTCTCGCCCGCCATCACTCTCTAAGCGGCCCCCTCAGACCCAGGGGAGGGGGCTTGCACCGCTGCTCCCAAATGCTGGTGGCCTTGAGAGGGGCACAGAGACTCAGGAGGGCTGTGCCCCTGTTCCCGAGACTGCGGGTTGGGTCTGGGGTCTGGGGTCTGGGGTCTGGACCCTTCTGGCAGGAGTGAGGACCCCCGGGGTCCCCTGTGCAGCACAGACATCACCACCACAGCCCAGGGAGTGTCCGTGGGGGGGGGTCTTTAGGGGCAGGGACTTGTGTCTCTCACACACACAAATATACACACACACATGCACACACATAGGCACACATACATTCCCATACACACACAGACACACATACAAACACATAGATACACATACACCGCCCCACACATATAGACACACACAGACACACATACATACACACAGACACACACAGACACACACATACACACTGGCATACATACACTCCCACACACACACACACAGACACACATACAAACACACAGACACACATACACACATACATACACACATAGACACACATACACCCCCCCCACACATATAGACACACATACACACATACATACAGACAGACACACATACACACATACACACACAGACAAACATACATACATACACACATAGACACACATACACCCCCACCCCCACACACATATAGACACACATACACACATACATACACACACAGACACACATACACACACATAGACACACATACACCGCCACCCTCCACACACAAACACCTACACCGACCCCTACTCACCCCCACCCTACACCCCCACACTCCCTTCCCCATACCCTCCCCCCACACCCACACATACACATCGCCCCCCCACCCTTCCCATCCCCCCACTTTGGTTCTCGGTCCTCTGTTCCTGCACTGTCGCTGTCCTTGTGCACAGCTGGCCCAGGGGCTCCTCCTCGGCCATGCACCTCTAGGCTTGAGCAGCATCCCCAAGCCATCCCTGCAAACCTGCCTCTGTGGCTGGCCCCTGTCCCAGCTCCAATCCCTGGGGAGGCAGGGGACAGCGGGCGCAGTCACATTCCCTGGTTCCCCTCTCGCTGCACCCTGGGCCCTGCTCAGGAAACAGCAGGGCTGGAGCACAGGGAGTCTGGCTCTCCTCCCGCCAGCCAGCGACCAGCCTCCTCCTCGCCTGCCCTCTCTGCCCTCCCACCTACCCCAGCCTGAAAGTGGGACCAGGCCACTCCCCCATTTCAATTCCTCTTCAACTCAGGGAGTTTCCTGTGCACCCAGAGAAACTCCGGACTGCCCTGCCTCCCGTCTGGCCCCTCCCGCTTCATCCAGGGGGATATCGAGGGCCTGGTTCCCCACATGGCACCCCCATTTCTGCCACTGTGCTCCCTTCCTGCCTGGGACACTTTTTTTTTCTGTTCTCTTTTGAGCCACACCCAGCGATGTACAGGGGTTACTCCTGGCTCAGGCACTCAGGAATTACTCGTGGCGGTGCTCGGGAGACCATATGGGATGCTGGGAATTGAACCTGGGCTGGCCGCATGCAAGGCAAACGCCCTATCCACCGTGCTATTACTCCAGCGCCCCCCCCCCTTTTTTTTTTGCTGCCTGGGACACTCTTATCACCTCTTCCAAGAAGACCTCCAGGACCATTTTCCATGCATAGGTGAGGGGCCCCTTCTCTACTTTCCCAAAGCCCCCTGTGTGCCCATCGGCCCTTCTCTGTCTCTCTAGAACTTGGTCGCCTCCCCCCCCCCCCCCCACCCGGCTGTGAGCCTCTGACCATGTGTGTCCACCTGCCCTCCCTCCCCACCCCCCAGCTTCACGCCCACCCCCCAGGCCGCAGCCACCAGCTGTGTCCAGCCCCTCCAATACTGCCCCCCTCCCCCCCAGCTCACCAGGAACTGGACGACGTCGTCGGGCCTGTGCTTGGCCGACTTGAACGCGGCCAGCCGGGTGACCACCAGGACCTGGTACTCCACGTGGCCCGACATCATGTCCCCGCGCACCTCCTGGTGCTGGGGCACGGACAGGTCGAGGCCAGTGTGGCTGTTCCGGACCTGCCTGCAAGGGAAGGGGACACTGTGGTCAGCAGGCTTCTGGGAGGTAGCGCGGGACAGTGGTACTGCTCGGTGGCCACTTGCATAGTCCCCCCCCTCCCACGCCACACACACACACACACACAAATGCACACACACAAACACACACACACAAATACACACGCACACACACATGCATGCACAAGCCCTGTTCCCCAGGGCCCAGGACTGCAGATCAGTCCCCAGTGGTGCAGAGCTCCTGCCGGACACAGGACACTGTGGTCACTGCATCCCAGGGCAGGACGGGCCCAGGCTGAGGGGTACTGCAAGGGGTGTGGCAGAAAACCTCCCGGGCCCTCAGAAAAGGGCTGAAAAGGCAGATTCAGGCTGGCTGGTGAGAAGCACCGCTTCACGCTTCACCTTAGTGCGAATCCTGAGCCAATCCTCCCCCATGGGGCGCACCTCTGCCTCAGAGACAGAGCCAGCGAGGGGACAGCGGGCAGGGTGCAACCCCCAGCACCACATACGCGCCCTCTACCCCGAAACACCATCAGGACTGATGCCTGAGGCAGGGTAAGCCCCAAGATCACAGAGCCTCAAGTTCAGGCTCTGGGGTTCAGCTTCCCTCCTTCCCCAGCTGTCTGCCTGACACTGTCACTACAGCTCTCCCCCTGACACCATCATCCCAGCTGTCGACCTTACACCATCACTACAGCTCTCTGCCTGACACCATCACCCAACTGTCTGCCTGACACGATCACTACAGCTGTCCGCCTGACACCATCACCCCAGCTGTCCGCCTGACGCCATCACTACAGTTGTCTACATGCGGGCAACCAGGTGCTCCGCCAACTTCCCCCACTTAGACCGGACACCCTCAGATCCTCTGAAATACCAGGAAACCCAGAGCCCAGCTTGCAACCCTCAGGCAGAGTCCAGTGTCCACCACTCTCCCTGGAGGCCACCAAGAGCTCTTCCGGGGCTGTGTGGGAGCCCCGAAGGGGTCTCTTGCTGGGCCCTGTTCACGACAGCCAAGGAAGCTTCGTGAAACCCAGGCACATGTGCCAGGCCTGAGGGGGGGTCAGGAAGACTGTCAAGGCACTTCCCAGCCCCCCCACAAACAGCTCTGCACTGAGTCTGGGTCGACTCCATCCACACCCACTCCATTCTCCCCCCTCCCCCCACTCCATCCCCCTCCACACCTCCTCCATCCCCCACTCCACCCCCCTCCACCCCCACCCCCTCCATCCCCCCTCCACCCCCCACTCCATAACCCTTTCTCCTCCACCCCCCATTTCATCCCCCCTCCACTCCTGCTCCATCCCTCCTCCACCCCCTTCTCCATCCCCCCTCCACCCCCCACTCCATCCCCCTCCACCCCGCTCCATCCCCCCTCCACCCCCTACTCCATCCCCACTCCCTCCCCCCACCCCCTCCCCTCACTCCATCCTCTCTCTCCAGTCTTCCTAGTCCAGTCCCCTCCGTCCCCCACTGCATCCCCCAACCCCATCCCTCCTATTGTGGCTGGGGCATGGGCTCCCCACCGGCCTCATTCTCAAGACTCCTCATCTCCCTCCCTCATCCCGCCCCTCAGGACACCGTGGGGACATCCACGCCTCCTTCAGAGAGCACCCCCAGAGCACCCCCAGACATGGCCCCGAAAGCAGCCCCCTCATGAAGCTACTTTCTGCTGCCATTTCCTTCGCCACTGACCATCCTGGGCAGATGGAAAGTTTCCCTCGACTTACTGTCCTCGGTCCCCCTAAAACTGTCCCCCCACCCTCATGCCACTGTGGAAATCCCAAAACCTGAGGAGTTAGGTCAGGACCACAGAAAATGGGGGGACACAGGCGGTGACGAGGGGGGCAGGTTGGCTGGCCCAATGGCTTGGTGGCCAGGAGGCGGGCATTGCTAGGGCGTGTCTGGGTAAGTGGGGGTGTCTGAGGAGGTAGGGGGCACATGAGGGTGTCTGGGGAGTGGGAGTGGTTGGGAAGGGGGTGGCGGGGGTGGGGGATTCTGGACTTGACCCTCACACAGGCTCCTTGCCACAGCTGGTGGTTGGCAGGACCAGGAGGGAGTCTAGCACCCCCTGACTGAGTAAGCCGGGTTGGGTGGGGCAGGGATGGAGCCCCAGTCCCCCATCTGTCTGGAGGGGCCAAGAGGGGTCACCAGCTGCCCGGCTCAGACCTGGCCCCTCTTGGGCCTCCTGACTGCAGGAGAGGAAACAGGCTCCGGCAGGGCAGAGGCGAGGCCTCGGGCAGCAGCAGGTTGGGAGGCTGCGTGGTCAGCGCGGCCCACTGACCCGGGGCGCACGCGGGCGGCTGGCACGGAGCCACGAGGCAAAGAGGCCCGCAGGTGCCCCCAGGACTTCGGGGACCGCCCAGGGGGGTGGCATCAGCTGCACCGAACCACTTCACAGGGATAAAAAGGGGAGGGGATGGCGGGGCGGGGAGTCCAAGCCGAGCGCGTCCCCTCGGGGTGGGGGGGGGCACACGCTTCTCTAACACCCTGCGCCTCCTCCTCGGACCCTCCCCACCCCGCCCCGAGGGGCCTGGCCCCGAGCCCCCTCCTGGAGCCGCGACCCCCCTCGTCTCTCCTCCACCGCGGGGGCGTCGGAGCGGCCAGGACAACTGAACTTTGGACCCCCGCGGGTCCAGGCGCGGTGGTGTCTCTCCTGCAGGGCGCGGCGACAGTGGCAGGTGGGATGGGTCCCCCCAGCGCGGATCCCGGGGAGCGCTGGCACGCAGGGAGCGGGTAAAAGCGGCCCCTATCCCCCCCATAAAACTGGATTTCCACCCGGAGGAAACGATCGGGGCGGGGCAATGGAGAGGGGCACCCCCGTGGGAACCCACCGGGCCTGGGGGAGCTCCCCCCCACGGCTCCCCTGTCCCAGGACGCCCATCTCTCGGGCAGGGAGCTGGAGGGGGCGAGCCCCGAGCTCGGGGGAGGAGGAGGAGGAGGAAGGCGCCCCGAGATCATAGCGCGCGCGCCCCAACCCCACCCCCAACCCCCGGACTCCCCGTGGACGCGGCGACGGCGCGCGGGGGCGCCCAGGTGGGGCTCACCTGGAGGTGACGAGCACCGCGGGGGACTGCATGACTGCCGGAGCTCGGGGAGGGGCGCGCGGTCACGGGACCCGCGGGCGCCGGCGTCACCGTGTCTCCGCCCCGCGCGCACGGCCCGCCCGGGTCCGTCCCGGGTCCGCCCTCTAGTGGCCACCGGCCTCGGCCTGGAAGCGACTTTGGACCCGGAGGCCTCGGTGGAGCGAGCGCTGGGCGGGGGTTGGAGGGTGGGGTCGGGGAGGTAGGGATGGGGGAAACTGATCCATCACCCCCGGGACGTCCTGCCGCCCCCGCGTTCCGCTCCCGGGTCGGCCGTGCGCCCGCGCGCTCTTGGCGCCCAGTTGTGTCCGCGTTAGAAGCGCCCGGAGTGGCCAGGCTTAGAGGGGCGAGGATGTGGACCCCCGTCCCCCATCCAAGCTCCGCATCCTTCCTGTTAGAGACGTTCCTTTAAACAGGTCGTTTGGACATTTGTTGAAACGGGAAGATTACTCAAATTGGGGGGGATTGACGGGCAAGATTGGGGGAGACAGAAGAGTCACAACTCCCCCAACCCACCTGGCCCAGGGAGTTGATAGCCGAAGGGGAGACCGCTGTAGCACTGTAGCACTGCACTGTAACATCTCCACTGTGACACTTGTTACTGTGTTTGGCATATTGAATATCTCACTGGTAGCTTGCCAGGCTTTGCCATGCAGGCGAGATATTCTGGGAAGCTTGCTGGGCTCTCTAAGAGGGACGGAGGAATCGAACCCAGCTCGGCCAGACCAGCGCGTGCAAGGCAAACGCCCTACTGCTGTGCTATGGCTCTAGCCCATAGGCCGCCAATTCGGGCATGGGCTGGGGGAGGGGTCTAGCGGGATTTTAGCTGCCGAAGTGGAGGGGACGAGCTTGATCAGATATCAGAGGGGGTGGGGCAGCCCTCTGGGAACTGCTTCTGGGGGAGGGGGCACTGCAGCACGGTGAAGGCTTTGTGCCGGGACAGGCTGGCCGGGGTCTAGGTTTGGTCAAGGACGCAATCTTTGTCACCCCCAGAGCCTCCCTCTCCCCACTGCTTCTGAACTCTGCAGAACCCCCTCTCTAGCGGTGCCCCCTGGCTCCCCCCAAACACCCCCCCCCACACACTGGCCATGACCTTCCACTCTGTGGAAGAGAAGGCGAGGCTTCTGCAGACCGACCAGCCCCTCACCTCCAGGCAATTCCCACCTGGCTGGACCGGGCCCAGCGCCTCTCAGGATGGTGGAGTCGCTCTGTCTCAGCTGTTCCCACCTCGGGCCTGGCCTTCCTTTCTGTCCTTCTCTTATTCCTACTGACCAGGCAGGCCTGTGTGTGTCCACTTCATGGCCTGGGAGCACCGCAGCCTCATGCACTCAAAAACCCCACTCCTGCTGCTGCTGGCTTGGCCTGGCCTGTCCCCCCACCCCCCACGCACCACTCAGTCCTTCCTGCTCACTCCCTGGGTCCCCGCCACCTCCTGGGAGTCAGAGGAGTGGATGGTTCTGTGCAGCTGAGAACGGGGTGTGGGGGAGGAGGAAGTTGTCCTGGGGGGGGGGGGGGCAGGGCACTGGACTAAGGTAGGGTCATCTCCCAATTGCCCCAGGCTGCAGCCAAAGAGGTGGTTCAGTGGGCCAAGCACGTCCTGATCCCCGACACCACATGTGGTCCCCAGAGCGCTGCAAGGCAGAAGTGACGCCCCCAGTGTAGAGCTGGTGTAGCCCCCTCCAGCACCACTGGGTGTGGCCCCCAACCTGAAGTGGCTCATTCAGGCACAAACATGAGTTGCAGTCAGGAGAAGAGAGACTAAGGGTGTGAGGGCACTTGAACACGCCAGCACACAAGTCTCTCTCTGGGACTTCTCTCGCAGGTACCTAAGTCTCTCTAAGTGAGGCTTTCTGCAGGGGAGTCTTTGTCAGTACATTTGAAATAAACTCACTCACACCAGGGCTGACATCAGCACTGCTCAGTGTGGGGTAAGGATGCTTGCGGGCTTGGGGAGGAGGAGGAGGAGAGGTGAGTGTATCCGATGTGCTCTCGAAAGTAGGACAGCTAATAAAAGGTGTTGGGAGGATCCTCCCAGGATGGGAGAAGCATGCTGAAAGTAGACTATAGACCGAACATGATTGCCACTCAATGCCTCTTTTGCAAACCACAGCACCCAAAAGGAGAGGGAGAACAAAAGGGAATGCCCTGCCACAGAGGCATGGTGGGATGGGGGGATGGGGGGTGGGAGGGATACTGGGAACCGTAGTGGTGGGAAATGGGCACTGGTGGAGGGATGAGTATTTGATCATTGTATAATTGATACCCAAGCACAAAAATTTGTAAGTCTACAACTGTACCTCATAGTGTCTCACTAATAAAAATTAAAAAAAGAAAAAAAGGAAAGAAAGTAGGACAAAGCCAGGATGCTGGAAAAACAAAACCCCCAAACCAGAGCCCACTTTGTATGCAAAAATGCTTGCATTTTACTATTTTTATTTATTTATTTTGCTTTTTGGGTCACACCGGCAATGCAGATGGGTTATTCCTGGCTCTGCACTCAGGAATGACTCCTGGTGCTGCACAGGGGACCATATGGGACGCTGGGAATCGAACCCGGATCGGCTGCATGCAAAGCAAAACGCCCTACCCGCTGTGCTGTCACTCCAGCCTCGCATTTTATGTTTTATGTCTAAAAGAAGCTCAGAAGAAAGGTATTGCTTTCACCTGTTCTTTTCTCCCTAAGCTTTAATTTTAAATTTTTGTTTGTTTGTTTGGGGGCCATGCCAGCAGTGTTCAGACTTTACTCCAGGCTCTGTGCTCAGGGGTCACTCCTGCGTGGGCTTGGGGGACCCTCTGTATATTGCTGGGGTTTGAACCCAGATCGGCTGCGCGTAAGGCAAGTGCCTTTCCTGCCGTCCTGTCCTCTGGCCCTCTAAGTCTCCATATAGAAAAGTTTCAGACTCATGAGAAACAGAAGGGCAGAAGGCTGGCACCACTTCTGCACACCCCGGATCAAAATCCCAGCTGGGTGCGTGCCAGAGGAGCTGCAAAATGGGGGTGATGAGGGTGGAGATAGGCCTGCATGGGGGAGCCCCTCAAAGAGGTGGGGTGATGGCCTCCAGTGTACTGAACTGGGGTCACTGTCACTGTCCTCCTGTTGTTCATCGATTTGCTCGAGTGGGCCCAGTAACGTCTCCACTGTGACAATTGTTACTGTGTTTGGCATATTGAATACACCACGGGGAGCTTGCCAGGCTTTGCTGTGTGGGCGAGATACTCTCAGTAGTTTGCCGGGCTCTCCGAGAGGGGCAGAGGAATTGAACTCGGGTCGTCCATATCGGCCGCTTATAAGGCAAATACCCTACCCGCTGTGCTATTGCTCCAGCCCACTGAACTGGGGTAAGGGTTGCAAATCTTTTCTTTTTTTTTTTTTTTTTTGCTTTTTTTTGGGTCACACCCGGCAATGCTCAGGGGTTACTCCTAGCTCTGCACTTAGGAATTACTCCTGGCGGTGCTCGGGGGACCATATGGGATGCTGGGAATCGAACCCGGGTCGGCTGCGTGCAAGGCAAATGCCCTACCTGCTGTGCTATCGCTCCAGCCCCAGGGTTGCAAATCTTTATCCCTCACACCAACTACTCATAAGAGGGGTGTGGCCAGAGAGGGTGGGGGTGCAGCTCTCCTAACCCAAAACAAGAACCAAGGGGTAGAGGTTGGGATAAGCACATCCGGCCTGCAGAGGGAGGGCCCGCATGCCTCAGATGCTTGAGGGTCTTTCCAGAAACAGAGGGCAACTTTGTAGCCATCGTGACACTACCCAAAACACTCGGCCGAATGTTTGGTGGTCCTGAGCCTACTTCTACTCACATGCAATGGTCACACTGTGGACACCTGGCATTGAGGTGCAGAAGCCGGGTCCCCATTGAATGCTGACCCAGCATGTTTGACAATCGCCCCACCCCCACCACCTGTCTGCACAGTCAGAGCTGAACAGAGGGCTGTGGCCTCACCTCGCTGTCCTGTCCCTTTTGGCTCCTTTGATTCTCAGGCAGCTCCTTCTCCAGCACGCTGAGAGCCTGTCTCCATCTAGCTTGGAACCTAGGGGTTACTTCTCAGTTTCCCGGCAGCTGTGTTTGACCTGAGATGCTACATGGCTGCCACCAGGGGGCACTGGACGCCACTGTTCCCTGAGATAAACACTTATTGGATCCTTTTGGTTAAGGTCAGCTCTGTTTGGGCAATGTCTGGCATGCATATTTGAAAGTTTTGATGTCACTCCAACCATGGACATTCCCAATGAAATTACAATCAGAAAACTTACCGCAGACGAAATGATTGTTTACATTTCCCCTTCCAGTACAATTTTTTTTTAAAAAACAGTCTACGCTGAAATTCACTAGGAATTTTATTTTGGTTTCTAAAAGGTTTTCCCCCCACTCCCCCTCAATACTAAAGCATCGGGTAGCATTCACTCATTGGTATGTTTTATTGAAAAACTCATCTTTCCCTTTTATTTCGTTCTACATATCTACAAGTGTCACTGCTTGTTTCTGGGTGCTCCCTGACATTGTCTTGACGTATTCATTGGGCGTCAGGGATGATGTGGGACTTGTCTCTATTGATTGATGATCATGGGGCTCTCCAGGGAGGAGTTGTTGTTTTATGATGTAAAAACGTGAATCTGGAGTTTCTATGGACCCGGGAGAGGGATCCCTGAGCAGGGAAGAACACTGGAACCAGAGTAGGTAGCAAGAGGGACCCAGTGTGGGTGGAGGAAGGAACCCAGAGTGGGTGGAGGGAGGGACCCCTTGTGGGTGGAGGGAGAGACCCAGTGTGGTGGAAGCAGGATGCTATCTGAGTACACAGCACCCGCCTGCCCGCCCGCCCGCAGCGTGGTGTAGCCTCCTGCAGGGAGGGCTCAGCCTGCCTCTTCCTTCCCTCCTCTCCACCCACCCCATTTCTCAACTCCTAGTTGGGCACTAGCTGTGCTGTGCACCCATGTCCAGCTCAGACCCGCAATGAGGACGGGCTGCCACCTTGCTGTGGTGTATTCAACGCCCTGTTGCCCAGTTCCCATTTTCACTACTTGCGTCATTTTGTTTGCATGTTCATTTGTAATGTCA